TTTTTTTTTTTTTTTTTTTTTTTGAGTTAATGTTCTTAAGTATATATATATTTGGATTAATTAGTGATATCACATGGACATCTGAAAATAACAATAGAAATGTCAACAAAAATTCAAGAATACGTCACCATCTAATACGTCCTAAAGTTGGCTTATATATATATTTCGAGTTCTTTGTTGGGTGGGAGAATGAAGAACACTTGACCCCTAGGCTCGAGGACATATGCCTTAGCTAGTGGTTAAGCTATGCTCGTATTAGCACTGTCTTTAACGGAAAGAAGAATATTTGGGGCCTTAGTCAAAACCCTTTCACCATTAAACTTGGTATATGACATCAGTTTTACAAAACCTGAACTCGTATTTTCTTCAAGCACTCCTTACAAAATGATTCACTATAATACGGGAATTACAAGGCTCTGCACCACCCCAGAATTTTCAAAAATCAGGGGAAAAGAAAAAAAAAAAAAAAAATCTAACCTTACAGCAAACTCAAGCTATCATCTCACCATCTTTTAGCCATTTGAAATGCAATAATTCCAACATAATGGTTTCTGAGCCTGTGAAAAAAGCCAGCAGAGTGTCGGGTCGATTGAGAGATTCTCAGATCTACGAACAGGGAACGTTCGAAAATTATATGCAACTTTGCACAGAAAAGAAGGAAAATCAAGAGAAGTGCCTGAACATTTGAGCTGTAATAATCTATGATATATACTGCCTAACTAATGAGGGACGGACTCGAAAAGAAACGATGGCGATGCAAGAACCACGTAAAAGCTAATGTATCAGGTCTAAAAGATCTAAAAAATCTATAGCAAGCAGTACAACAGCCAGAATCAGAACACTAAATCATAAAGTCACTGAGAAAGTAAATAATTGGTTCATTTACAAGCTTTTGAATTTTCAAATGGTTCAAAATTCAAATATTTACTAAATACAAAATTAAAATTTTAGAGTTTTATTAGACATAAAATTCAAATTTATATCAAATAGATCAATTAATTTTTAAAATTTTCAAATTTGTGAGCGACCTATTACACACAAAATTGAAAGTTCAAGTACCTATTAGACACAAAATTGAAAGTTTAGGAACGTATTCCATGCTTTAAAATACTTTTAAAGCTCAAAGAACATATAGATACACACCTCAAATTTTAGAACCAAACTTGTAATTTAACTTAAATAATTGGACTAGATGTTGTTGCAAAATCATCTTCTATGGACGCGTTACTAGTCATGCACACTTATGCCCTATTTTTGAAAACGAAGATCTAACACACTCAAGCTCAACTAAAGCTCAAAGATGTATCTTGGGGATATCTACGGTTTTTGTTGAAGATTTTTAACACCCTGTTGCCGGGTTACCTGTTTTCTTCATGTGCTTACAAATGAATGCCCTTCTCTAAGTACCAAAGGAAACAGAATCCTATACTTTCATTACTCAGAGAAGTTATGGAAACAGGCCCCTAAGAAAGTTATACTTTTCCTGTAAACTCCAGCTTTGGGTCTAGTTAACACATCAAACACATTCCAAAGGCATTGTGCAGTAAGAATTAGGAGAGTCGAAGTTAACTCTTTATTCCTACCCTCATGGCACAAACTATTGCCATTAGCTTCTTATCGAATTTGGTATTTTCTGCTGTTTACAAGGGTTGTTCTTCCATGGAACAGCTCTTTCTCGATATCCTTTCAAATGAAATGCCACACTTTTATGGGAAAATGTTGCTACGGCTAAATTATGAAAAAAGTATGGACGGAAGGCAATCATATGATCTTTTCTAAAATGTGTGGGAGATCATAATTTTTATTAAATGGCTGCTCATGGAGTTCTCCAATTTATTTTGTAATTAGATTCTTTTTAGTAGTACCAATTGATAGAACGTCTTGTAACGATCTTGGCAGTGCTTCATGATGCCTCTCCATCTATCGAATTTTCCTATTAATAATATATTTCCTATATAGAAAACATGCACTCAAAACAGATATCCTTTTATGAATATTACTTGAAACTTACTCTCGCCCCACCTAGCAGCTTCAGCTAAGTCTCTAAGGTATCTATTTACTTTTTAAGACACCACGTCAGGCTTTTCCACTTCCCATATAAGAGTTTTAATAGTAAATTGTAAGTTTAAGTCAAGATGAGAGAGTCAAGCTTGCAATAGAATGGCTGGCAAAGAAGGAATAAAAATGGGAGACGATGAGAAAACAGGAAAGGGAGGAGTTAGTCGATACCTAAAAAGTATTTTTAGCCTTTTAAGATGTAAAAGTGGTTCCAAAATGAAGGAATGGAGATGCAAAACTGAGCAATCAACTATATAACTGCACATATATAAGCATTATGCATTCCTGTTGGCACAAACATGCCAACATTTTTTTTCCTATGAAACGCCAGCAATAACTATAAAAGGCATACTTTTCACAATTTTTTGTATTCAGTTCTTTTTTGGCTTCATATTGGTGAAAGTGCAAAGCCCTCTTTCTATCTCTATGTATATCTATACTTTTGGCCAAGTGGAAAGTCCCTTTTGTAATTCTCCAAAGAAAATTAATATCAATCAAATTAAATAAGAAAAGTAACTACTGGTCATGCAGCCATGGATAGAAGCATACATATGCCATTGAATATAGTTTGTTCATATTCTATTCGTCATGGGCAACCAGATCATCTAATAGACATGACATACCACACCAGCATATCAATATGAAGTAAGCTATTTCAGGTAAGAAATAAAAGGATGACGAGATCAAGGACATACCCAGCTTCAGTGAACTAGAATTTCAGATATTCTTCAATCCCGAAGACCAAGTTCGACCTCAAGCTCATCATCTTCTTCAAACAATTTCAGAAGTCGGGCATATTGCTCCTCTCTTCTCTTCTTCTGCCATAGCTTGAAAAGGAAAAATGATAATAACACAACTACCAAAAACCCAAGGAGGATGATGGCAACCATAGAGCCAGTTTTGCTGCTTGAGGATGAATGCTTCCCGGAGTTAATACTATCTTTGCCACTGGAATCATTAGAAAGGGCTGTAGTAGCCAACCAAAAGAAGTGTTAAGAGATAGCTGCAAAAGTAAAAATTAATGACTCAACATGTACTAATTGATGACTGGTCATTTATCATTCGACAAAAAAAATTCATTTCTAGATAAAAGATAATGGAAAATGCACAAAACGAAAAAGTAACCATGGGGTTTGGAATCTACACAGGTAAAATACCAATACACTACAGCATACTTGCATCTCCTTTGCCCAAAAAAGCATAGAAAAGGAAAATAATAAATAATGAAATTTGAGTACGGGTTTAAGGAAATAAACATCGAAAGCAGAGATGAACCGAAACTCCTCATTTCATTGGCAATGAGAAAAACAGTGCGTAGCTATTGAATGAACAAATTTTATGGCTGCTTTATGGTACACACTTTTTGTACCTCCATAAACTTCAAAGAAAGAATGTACAAGAAGTTATTTTTTATGACAATATCGAGATTTCCTTTAAAAAAACACAGATTAAGTAGTACTAGTATTTCGTGCAACTGCTTGTCTCGCTTACACATTGCGAAATTGAAATTAACTGATTACAGCCACAAACTTTCATATAAACAGATTATGAAGTTCTGAAAGTACTAATTTAACTGAGAAAGCATAAAGAAACAAAGATTCCGAAGGACATGTTCAACTAATTAACAGGGAAGGATACTAAAAATCAAACAAAAACAAGATCTCAACACAGAATTCATGAAAAACAGTCAATTGCATCCCCCAGTCATTCGATTCACATCAAGAGCATCCAGTAACAGAATCAGCAAAGAAAAGAGAAGGAAAAATTGCACAAATCAATAGACAGATCGCAGAAACCGAATAAAGCAAAAGATTAAAAAATAAAAAAAGAGAGAGAGATCTGAAGAAGTACCGGAGACGAAAAGTAGGGAAAGCGAAGCGGAAAGCGCAACCAAATCAGACGATCTGCGACTCAAATTTCTGCTCATATCGATTGTCTGACTATCCGTATCTAGAACCTCCGCAACAAATTGAAACGCTCGATCGCTGGCAGTAGAGAAATGGAAGAAGTTGAAGGGAAAGCTGAAAGTTGCCAAACCACGCTAATGCTAAAGCTACCTTTCGAAGTTGTTCAAGATGCATGATTATACTTTGCATCAAAATTTACAAATATATTCAATTAATTTGATATTGAGGAATATTTAAAAAACATTAAAATAATAATAATAATAATAATAATAACCCTTTATATTTTCATTTTTTATTTTAAAAAATGGTATTTCTTAATCTTTAGGTTTTTCTGAGATAAAATTTTTTAGTTAAAGTCTAAAATTATAAATAACATTTTCTTTAAGCCCAATTAATTTCTTATATTTAATTATGGTATGATAAAAGTGGTTTTAAAATAGGAATAGCTTTTTTTCATGAATTATTAATAAACACTTAAATTTACTCCAACGCATCAAAATAGAATAAATATTAGATAATTGAACAAGAAATTCTCTAAATAATCGAAAATAATTGTACTACAAAAAACCGATAACAAATAATTTACAAAAAAAAAAAAAAAAAAATAGAGATGTAATCTTTAAACTCATAGAATAAAAACCCAAAACTTCTGGTGATAATTATTGAATTTTTTATTTGTATAAAAAATTAAATTTATGAACATTAATTTCATTTATAAGTTTTTTATTATTATTATCATAATGTTTTTAAAAAATGTATGTCAAATTTTGAAAACAAAAAACTATTTTTCTCTCTCTAATAAATAAATCCCTAAATTTCCTTTATTTTTTTCTCATTTATATTTATTTATCTAATATATCATTCATTCTCAAATTTTACTTATTTTATCTCTAAAGTCTATATTTTTTTTTTCCTCTCTAAATTTACCATATTAAACATTTTTCTCTAAATTATTATTATTTACATGCCTTCCCACATTTTATAAAACAACATTTCTTCCTAAAAAAGAAATTTAAAAACAGAAATATAACTAAAAAATTGACATAGAAAAACAAAAAATTTAAAATTTAACATAGAAAAACAAAAAATTAGGCTATTCAAGGACACTAATATAAGATCATTTCTGTAACAATCTAAAACAACAATTCACTTCATGAAAGTTAAAATTATACTTAAATGTAAACAAGAATCATAACAGCACCCCATAAGCTTAAGCTAAATATAAATGTAAAGTTCAATTAGAAAGCACAAGAAAGTTCACCTCGACTCCGAAAATAAATAGAAGACAAAATCGACTCAAAACGTCCACGGTAACCTTCCTCACACGTCAGTCGTCCCTCCTCTAGTCCAAAGCCCCAACCACACCACCTGAAAGCTAGCTTTACTCTATTACTCACTTGAAGCATTTAGCATCCAAAAGAGCTTCACCCTCGAATGGTTCCTGGTCTTCAATCATTTGGTTCACCCTCTCCTTCTGGGCTTCGTCCGAGATATCCACCTTCTTCCACTCGTATAGTTCCATATCATAGCATTCATCGATCACAAATTGCGGGATTTCTTGTCCACGGAAAAGCCATAGCCCCTTCACCTTGAATGGAGCCTCTGATCCGATCACGAGCATCTTTCCGAAGGCATACTTGCGAGCAAGATCCATTCTCTGAAGAAATCCGCTGACTTTGTTCAAAGTCACGAATGAAACTGTGTTCTCGTCGTTGTATTTGTAATCACAGAACCAAAGGGAGTATCCTTCAGGGTCATACATGTCCCAGAATCCTGCATTGCATAAACAAATGAACATAGACCACTTCAATTATACAACAGTTCCTTCTCAAGGGGAAATTGCAGCTATGTTTCTTACATGGGGCTGAAGAATGGTTATACCTTTGATTGCAACCTCACGGAAGTTGGTTTTAGTGTTCGAGTAGAGACGTTTCCACTCGTCCAAAATCATCTTACTGGGAGGAAGCAGGTCGAGAGGATTTTTGGCCTTCGGCTTTGGTGCCTCCTCTTCTGCAGCAGGTGCTGCTTTGGGCTTCTCTTCTTGTTTCTTGGGCTCAGGCTTTGGTTTGGCAGCTGCTGCAGCCTCTTCAGGTGTTTTCACTGGTGGAATGGCATCAGTCTGCTTTACCTCACCAATTATCTTTTGGAAATTTGGTTGATTGACCAACGTCCAGAAGTACCTCTCGACGTGAGGGAACTCGGAAGTAAAGCTTTTAGTCAATATATACGTAAATCCCAAATAGAGATTGCATGTCAAAATGATATCAGCCAGTGTCACAGAATGACCAACAAGGAATGTGTTTGAAGCAAGGTAAGAGTTCAAAGCAGCAAAAGATCGTTTTAGGGCAGCGTTTGCAGCTTCTTCTACCTTCATGCAGAAAATAACACATAGAATAAGTCATATGCCATGGAAACAATCCACTTTTCAAGATCTCAATACGCACAAAAAAGGATTAAATGAGAAGAAAATAAGCTTCGAGTTCTAACTTACAGCAGGATGGTAAACACCATATCCAAATCTAGGCCTCAAAATTGTTGAAATATGAGCATCTATTTCCGTTGTGGAGAAATCGATCCATTGTTCAACATGTCCCTGAAAACAATAGAATGAACGGTATGATAATAAAATCAAACACATTGCTTTCCGATCTAAGTAATCTAAGGAAATGAAAGCATAATCAAAACCATTTAAAGAAAACAAAGGATCTTACGTAGTCAATTGAGGAAGAGCCAAATAAACTGCTGTCCTTCAAACGAGCAACTGCAGCAATAACAGAAAATTTTAGCATAATAAGAAGAAGATTTTCATTTTAACCCATTTGCATAGTTATAAAGTCTCTTCTGTGGAGAAACACATAATAATAATTACCATAGCGAGCTATAGCATTGCTCTCAAAGATAGCACCGTCGGGTGTTTCCAACACAGGAACCTAAAATAGGCACAAATGAGTCATAGAATAAAAGAATTGCTATATCTCACATGGTCAAATCACCAGAGCAGATATTTGTTTACCTTCCCAATAGGATTCATTTTCAGATATTCAGGACTTTTATTGGTTACGCCCATGACAAAATCTGGAGAAAGGTCAATTTTGACACCATTGTATTCAGCAGCTATAAAAGCCTTGTAAGCATTTTTGTTAGCCTTCCAAGAATGCAGGACCTGCAAAATCAATACACATATACTTCAAGAACATATCAACCAATTATCATTCACAGTACACAAAAGAGGAAAGAGTACTCATCGATCATCAATAATACAAGTAAAGCAACTATGTCTAATACTAAATATATGCAATCAAATTTCAATCACAATTATCAACGTGAAACACCTGAATTAAACAGCATATGGAAGTGTATTAGATTGTGAACAAGAATGTGTATTAGATTCTCCAAACTAAAACACTGAAACGCCCTAGAACTTAGCCACAAATATCACAACATAAACTTCTGATGAAGATCACAACACAAACTTCTGATGAACCAATATGACAAAACACAGATCCAAAACAACAAGACGATAAACCTCCTCTTCTTGTAACCATTTCTTGACAAAAAATATATATATATAATAAAAAATTCAACACAACATAAAAAGATCACAAAAAAGGAAGTAAAATATAATTAAAAAAATTCAAAACATATCACAAAACAAAACCGGAAGTAACGAGAGGTGCTCACCAGAGCCATCGCTTCGCGGAAAATACGTTTACCTCACAAATCAGATCTGACCTACATCAAACGAACAGTTAGTTACATAAAGAGAATTCAACAGTAAATCGAAGAGATCCAAAGTCAGTTATATAGAGAGAATTCAACATTATATCGAAGAGATTCAAAGTCGAGACTGACTTCTGATGAAACAAACACTGCTAACCAGAAAAAAGATGAGAGAAATGAAACCTGTGAAAGGCTAGCGTTCTTCCGAGAGTGAGAGGAAAGACTATAGTTGTGTGTAAGAGACTATATTAAGTGAGGAACTAGGGTTTTGTTTAGGCTGCTTCCGGGTCGGGTCACTTCCGGGTCGGGTCACACCAAATTTTGCTGTAAAGGGCCAAAACCCATATATTTTTGTAATTTAGGGCTAAATTTATGTTTTAATTTAAAAATCCTTTTAATGAAATTATGTTGTAAAATTAAAATGTATCGTTTATTTATTATTTTTTTTCTCAAATATTAAAGAAATTCAAAATATTGAATTTTTTATATATTAATACATAATTTAAAAATTAAAATAATGCATAAGCTTCCCCAACCATCCCTGGTTTATGGTAATTTAAACAAATTTTTAAAAAATATATATAAATTTATTTGGAATTTATAAAATTTAATAGATATAGAGTTATTGATATCTAATAAATTTTTAGATTCCTAAAATTATTAAAATTTGTGTAATAATATTTAGAATTTGAATTTTATATTTAACTATAAATTAATAAATGAAAGGGAAAAAAACATGAGAGAGAAATATGTAAATGATTCTGTGATGCGATGGCATATTCCATATCCGATGTTGACCCAATATTTATGCGTGATTTTTATATTTTTTAAATGCTAAAATATAATAAATATATTAGCCATCCTAATTTCAAATGATTTATTTATTTATTTATTTATTCCTGATTTGGTCTGACTTAATTTCAATAGAATAAAAATATAATTCTAATTTTATTCGAAAACATATTTTGTGTGTTAAATTAAATAATTATTTTATAAATTAACAAAAGGTATTGTTATAATGTAATATCAAAATCTATTTTGTTGGATAAAATCAAATAATTGTTTTGTAAAATAAATATCTTTTTAATTGTTAATGAAATGATGCGGTAAACTAAAATAAATTAAGAATTAAATTGTATTGTTGATAAAATGAAATACTAAGTAGGAAAGTGAAAAAAAAAAAAAAAAAAAAAGTTTTATGTGATCGTGGAAGAGGTTGAACTCATCAATAAATTAAGTATGTATATATATATATATATATAAACCTATAGGGGTTGTTTTCAAATTAGTTATTTTCCACTGAGACACCCGAGCAAGAGATACTCCTAGCACCGATCCGAAGTTTAAGCCCGACATCCCACTAAATATGGTCCTATAGGTCCGTGATGCAACAAGACACCACCTATGTAACGACCCAGATCTACCGCTAACAGATATTGTCCTCTTTGAGATTTCCCTTTCGAGCTTCCCCTCAAAGCTTTAAAACGCGTATACTAGGGGAAGGTTTCCACACCCTTATAAATGGTGGTTTGTTCTCCTCCCCAGCTTTAAAACGCGTCTACTAGAGGAAAGTTTCCACACCCTTATAAATGGTGGTTTGTTCTCCTCCCCAACCCAACCAATGTAGGACATCACAACCTAGTTGCCAGAAAAGTTACGGGAAAGAATATATTAATGTGGCTAGAACATCACAAAACTGACATGGCGATACGACGAAATATGACTGTCCTCAATGATTCACGAATCAATTAACTATATATAAACCTATATGGGTTGTTTTCAAATCAGTTCTTTTCCACCGAGACACACGAGCAAGAGATACTCATAGCATCGATCTGAAGTTTAAGCCCGATATCCCACTAAATATGGTCCTATGGTACCGTAGTGCAACAAGGCACCACCTAGTTGCTAGAAAAGTAATGGCAAAGAGTACATTACAATGACTAGAACATCACAAAACTAACATGGCGACACGACGAAATATGACTGTCATCAATGATTCACAAATCAATTAACTATATACAAACCTATATGGGTTGTTTTCAAATCAATTCTTTTCCACCGAGACACGAGCAAGAGATACTCTTAGCACCGATCCAATGTTTAAGCCCGACATCCCACTAAATATGGTCCTATGGTACCGTGGTGCAACAAGGCACCTCCTAGTTGCTAGAAAAGCTATGGAAAAGAGTATATTACAGTGGCTAGAATATCACAAAAGTAACATGGCGACACGACACGACGAAATATGACTGTCCTCAATGAATGTCGGAATGATTTTCTTTACTCCAAACTACACTGATATAATTCTCTCCAGACTTCAGTGTATGGAGATGATTAGGAGAGACAGAAAAGTATCCAAAGGTGAGTGTCACAAAACATTTATACACAGAAACGTTTCAAATAGGGAACAATTCACCATAACATTGAAATCCTTGAGCCAACACAAAGTAAAGACGACTTCTTCTTAAGAAACCTGTTAACTTAGATTTTACCTTTTATATAATTAGGCGACTTCTTCTTCTTCTCAACTGCAACAGCTGCTCTTTTGCTCAATTGGTTGCCCCTTCATTTGCACATTCCCCGACGACATCGACGAACTTGGCTGGCTCCCCATTCTAAAATCCATTTTGAAATGTCAGAAACAAAGCATAACGACAGAGAAATTCAACATCAAGCCATTGAATTTTTCAACGACGCCGAAGGAAGGAAGAACGAAAAGAAAGAACGGGCAGAATGGTTGTTACTTTTTCTTTATTTCAGCAGCCATAGTTAAGAAAGCTTGCTCCACATTGATCGAGTCTTTTGCACTCGTCTCCAGAAAAGGAATTCCGAGCTCGTCTGCAAATGCCTGCAATCCATCCATGAAGAGGAAAATATAATAAATCGAGTATTAAGTCAACTTATTTTCTATATTCAAGGGGGCAGGCCAGAAGGGACACGACCTAAAACCAATGATACTCGACAGAGTAGTATTAGAACTTCGGAAGTGCACACATATATATATACCAGATTTACATCGAAGATCATAAAAATTAATAGGAACGTTCGATCAAAGGTGGCTGAATGAACTTGCTAAACGTTTGTAGTAAGCGAAAAGAAAAGTTGGAAGTTCAAAAATTATGGCACGGCTAAAATAAAAATTATACCTTTGCTGTCTCTGTGTCAACAACCTTGTTCTCAACTAAATCACACTTATTTCCTACTAAAAGCTTGCACACACTATCATTAGCATATCTATCAATCTCATTCAGCCATTGCTTGACGTTGTTAAAGCTCTCCATCTCAGTGACATCATAAACAATCTGTTGCAATTCAAACAAAATATTGTGACGATGGCACGTTTCTTTGATAAAAAAAAAAAAAGTCAACTAATGAACCTGACAAAAAAAAAAAATCCCCAATTCACTTTCTGGGCAAGTTATTTTAAGAGATCGCATCCTCCCAATTGATCGGCTTAAGGGTTTTTTCCACAACTAATACAAACTGATATTGGCTTATGGGCTTACGACGCTAATAACAATTTTTTTTTGTTGATGAAACCGTGCCCCGGCCACCCATGGAGGAGTGTATTCTTCCGCCAGTATTCTACCATTGGCAAAAATTCAGAATGGTTCAGCCACATTCTCAAATCGGAAGGGCGAGGGGCCCCATTTACAGCAACAATGTGACATTAGAACAAAATATTCTAATCAAGAACCAGCAAATTAGGTGTTCTAATCTAAACAACAGGCTGAGAACAAGTATGAGAGAGATCTCGTAAACTCACAATACAAATATTTTAATCCCTGAACTTAACAGGGAAGATTCTTACAATTATTCCATGTGCTCCTCTGTAATAGCTGCTTGTGATAGTCCTGAATCTCTCCTGACCAGCAGTGTCCCACTAAAAAGAATAAAACAATAGAATCAGTCAAGTCTTCTGCATATCAAATTAGATTTCAACAAGTCCGTGAAATATGAGGAATACAGCTTTTGTAAAAAAAAGGGAAGACAGAAGAAGTGGAATAGACAGTCAACAATATTTGTAAAGGTAACTGCACATTCAATTTCACGTCTCTAACAATTCGCATAGCAACATTATCCACTTTGTTCTGTTCGTCTATCAATACTTACAAAAGCTTTCAGCAGTTAGGCATATATATTATGATTGAATCTGATAAGCATAGCAACACCACAACCGAAAAAACAAGTGATTTAACAGCCTGTGTACGAACATGATGAATGTCGCCTGAAATTTAAATTTCATATTAATAGATAAATTATAAAAGAAAACTAAGTAGAAACGCTCCATATTTTGGCCTTTATGATCCAAAAGGCCTTACTTTGGGTTTTCCCTATTTTGGCCAGAGCACAAGAATGTAATAGCAGACTACAAGATCAGAGACACATAATGTAACATAATGTAACAGCCCAAACCCACCACTAGCAAATATTGTCTTCTTTGGATTTTTTCTTTCGAGCTTCCCCTCAAGGTTTTTAAAACATGTCTGCTAAGGGGAGGTTTCCACACCCTTATAAAGAAAGTTTCGGTCTCCTCCCCAATCGATGTGAAATCTCACAATTCACCCCCTCCCCTTAGGGCCCAGCATCCTCGCTGGCACTTGTTCCCTTCTCTAATCGATGTGGGACCCCTCAATCCACACCCTTCAGGGCCCAGCGTCCTCCTTGCTGGCACACCGCCCGGTGTCTAGCTCTGATACCATTTGTAACAGCTCAAACTCACCGCTAGCAGATATTATCTTTTTTGGGTTTTCCCTTTCGGGCTTCCCCTCAAGGTTTTTAAAACAAGTCTGCTAAGGAGAGGTTTCTACGCCCTTACAAAGAATGCTTCGTTCTCCTCCCTAGTCGATGTGGGGTCTTACACATAAACATACATAAACATACAGCTGAGAAGATCTATACATATAAATATAGAAACATGCAACTGAATCAGAAGATGAAAAGCTAGACTTTAGAAAGTATCTGAAAGCAAAAAAACCGTTCTATTTCCCAGATGTATAAGCCGTCACAAGGCTATTAAATGATTAATCACGCAGCAAAGAAAGATACCCTCCATGAATAAGAAAGAAAATTTCTAGAAACAAGAAGCTATGTAAGCCTACTCACAATCTGGAGCTTAACGGTCTTTCCATCCAGTTCCACAGTTCTGATTTTCTGAAAAATCACAGAAAATTAGCCATAAAGAGCAAAATCCAAAGCAATGGCCCATACAAGATCTATATAAAGTACAAAAAGAAGGCAACGGTTTCGAAACTCACGAAATCAACTCCAATCGTACTTATATAGCTATCCACATAGGAATCATCCTGAGAAAAACAGGAAAGAAAAACAAAGCAATTAAGTATTTCTGTACTGATGAACATAACCCCTAAAAAACACGAGATAAAGCCCTAAATCATCCCCATTTCCACAAACCGACACATAAAAAGATGAAAACAAAAAATGCAGAAATCAAAAGTTCTACAGCCAACTCACCGCAAATCTGAGAAGAAGGCACGACTTTCCAACAGAAGAGTCACCGATTAGCAAGAGCTTGAACAAATAATCACTGCAAAAGGGAAAACAGCATAAACAACGAATTAGATATCTGAGGAGTTGGATTGAAGAAGGAAAATTAAAAAAAAAAAAAAAATCATGAACCGAATTCAAGTATAACATACTATTCGTTGCTCATGGTTTGAATCGAAATTGAAAAAAATCTGCCTCCGTAGTTTTCTCTCGGCGTCTTCGGACCGAATGCGAAGGGGGAGAGAGTGGGACTGAAGTAAGAGATCGGATTAATGATTTTCTTTTTAATTTTTTTTTTTTTTAACTTAAATTATTAATTAAAGTTTGTCTTTTTCTTTCTCTCTCCTAAATCTTACTTTAGTAGATGTTCTTTTACTCTCCATTAAATTAAAATCATACTTTTTTTTAATTTTAAAAATGTCTAATAAATATTTAAAATTTTGATTTAATATATATATATATATATTTTTTTTTTTTAAGGATCGCAATTTTGATATTATCGATAAAGCCATTGTATAACTCCTCGCAAAGTTGTGCATGAGAATGTTCATCAAAGAAAACAGAATTTTCGATCACTACAACAACAACAACGGGTTCACGATGCTACCTGGATAAGAATTAGAGACAAATTTAGAGAATGGAAAGAGTCGAATGCACCGAGGCTTGCAAGGAAGATTTTGAAGCGATGTGAGGGTTCAATTTTTAATGAGGTCGAGACTCGAGAGTGTGGTTAGGACATTGGAGAGGGTTGTATATTTTAATCTGTGGAGGTTGAGGGTTGTTCGAGGAAGAAGATGGGGAAGGGAGGAGAATTGTTGAGGATTGTTGGGAGTGAGTCCCACATTGGCTAATTTAGAGAGTGATCATGGGTTTATAAGTGATGGATATTATCTCTATTGATTTGAGTTTTTTTGGCGAAGCCCAAAGCAAAGTCTGAGAGCTTATGTTAAAAGTAGACAATATCATACCATTATGAAGATAGCAACGAACAAGAAGAAAAAAAGTTACACTTTTGGTGCTTGAGGTTTGAGCTTGAAAACGTTTTGGACTCCTAAGTTTGATGATCGTTGGTTTTTTGTTTATTACTAACAAAAAGGTAACATTTTAATTTGTTTATATTTTCTCACTTTTCCATCCATGACTGCCACCAGTACAATTGATATGAACCACGACTGAAGAATTTTCATACCTCAAGGTCTAATTATAAGGACGAGAGTCAAGAAACTACAATAAACCTTATACACTTATAATATTCAAGCTATGATGAGCTCATCAAAAGAAATTCTAGAAGACACCAGAGACCTCCCTTATATATTATACCAGAGACCTCCCTTAACCGAAGAATTTTCATACCTCAAGGTCCAATTATAAGGACGAGAGTCAAGAAACTACAATAAACCTTGTACACTTATAATATTCAAGCTATGATGAGCTCATCAAAGAAAATTCTAGAAGACACCAGAGACCTCCCTTATATATTATACCAGAGACCTCCCTTATATGTTATACAAAGTTGAGCTTCAAGAAAGAGATGTATTAAGTGTTAGGAGGTCTCCAGCCTCGTCTAGAATTTCGTTTGGTGCATTATAAGTGGATTTTTATTTTAAAAATAAATTTGGTTTTATAAATTGGAAATGAATTAATATTTAGGGAAGTGATTAATTAAATTAAAATATTATTAACGGCTACGGGCATAATTGGAAGCCAAACAGAGAACGTCATGTTCTTCTTAATCCAGGTTAGGGTACCTTAAACCTGTATACAAACAACCACCAAAGGGAGGGGTCGCCGTAAACGCCGCCACGACGACGTCCACGTAGGCTCGGATACGCCGAACCAAAATTCTCACTCGAAGCTGGAGGCTTCGACGCGCAGCTGGAGACAGCCTGTCACCAACAAAGTCCCACTCACCTATTCCCCTAACTACGTTCTCTCGGTCCCGCTCCTCTCTCTTCTCTTTCTCTCTCTATCTGTCTTTCTGGCCAGCGTCTTCTTTCTCTCTCTCCGGAGGATTAGGGTTCTTTGGTTCCTTCTGTGATTTATCCAAAACTCCATTTCTGTTTGCTAGATCAAGATTCCCCTCGCTGTAAGCTTCCGTTTGATCTGTTTTTCCTTTGATTTCGTTCGCATTTTGTTTCTCTTCTTAAAATCACTGGATATCTTGTTTTCCGTCCATTTCGTTTTGATACCTCTCTTTGTATTGATTTTGTGCTAATTTATCTTGTTTTCTAAATTATTTTTTCATTTCCTTTGACTTCCCGTTTGTAGCATGCATGTTGAGCTATTAACTATGAATTTTTATTTGATTCTTTATTTTTTTTTGTGGGTACAGAATGATTTTTCTCGGGTTTGTATTAGCTTAGCGCTTGTTGCTCCGTTCCTGTGCATTTGTTGGATGCTTCTTGTTGGCGAGGGATTTTTAATGACTGCATTTTCAATTATGGATAATTGAGGGTTTATCAGATGATACTCACATGGCTGAGAATTTCTTAATGTCTCGTTTATATTTTTGTTTCCGGCGGGAGTTGGTTTTCAATGTTGCGTTAAACCCTGCTTTTGTATCATGGTTGAATCTTGAACCAGGAGGTTTCATTGATTGATATACTACTATGACTGGCTATGGCGGTTAATATATCAAGAGTGTTTTGCTTAAGATGAAAATTCATTTCTGATTTTTCATGAATTGCGATAATTTAGTTTGGTTTGAACATGTAATTGTATCTTTCCTTCACTTTTATAGGATTGTTTAGACTAATGCTAGTTCAATTCTTAAAGCGAGAATCGTTTGGTTTTACAAACTTTTGCATTGTAGTTCGTAAATATACCCATACCTAGAGTTATGTACGTATATTATTTTAGGATTAGCACAGAATTGAAAGCTAAAAATTTAGAAGAATGTTCAACTCCGGGATACTTGTTCAAGTGCTAACATTGAACAAGGCAGTTGAAGTCTTAAACCCAATCTGTGGCTTAACGTCATTCTGGAAGTCGTTTTGATGTGTAATGGCAATAATTCTTTTTGATGAAAAGAGTTTTCTTATATCAGAGAATTGAATATTTGGGTTTAAAACTTGGCTTATTTTTCATTGATTCCTATCTAAATATGTTGGGAAGCTTGCCCTGCTTTTTCCCTTTCATGAACTGAAGAGAATCTATATTAAAATGTAGGCTAAATTTGGTTGAATACTTTAGGAATTTGTTTAACCTTATTATTTCCATTACATCCTTTGCTTCCATTTATTCTGTGTACACCCTCTACTGCTCATAGTTTTTTTCCTGCACCAACTATTTCTCCTTCTCATGTAGTCTTAAAGTTGACAGTATGTATATTTGCTTGAGATGATTAAAGTGCATTTAAGCCATAGTTTCTTGTAAGACTTCTTTGGAAATTATGGTTACCTCTCATTTATGACATCAGCGATATCAGTAGTATTCGTTTTTTAAAATTACATTCTATTTGTTCCTTGCTTCTTTTTTTCTTTATTCAAACTCTATATGCTGTTGCTTCTAAGTTCTTATTTTCTCCAACTTCACTGCAGATGAACAAGATGGATTGTTATGCCTAGAGAAGCTTGAATACATAGGTCGGTCGTGAAGACGGGCATTGTTCTTCATGACTGCTACTTCAAATGCTGTTGCCTATCATCTTCTACAGAAATTTGTGGTTAATTTGAGTTCAGCCTGGGTTGTTGCCCTGCTTTTGTTTTCATTAGAAGTGGGAAGAAAGCTGATAAACAATTAGTGGTCCTTAGTATCCATGCTGGCAGAGAGTATGCTTGGAATCTGTGCATCGAGTAATGCCCCTGACGAGATTTGCTGCCGATGCATTCGGTGTGGTGACGATTTGTTTAGTGGCCCTATTGATTCTTCTTGGTTTATTGTGCATTGTTTACTCGTGCTACTTCCGGTCTCGCATTCATAGTGAAGGTTGCATTCAACTCAGTTACTTCAGTGGTCCTTGGATAATTCGAATTACATTCATCTTATTTGTGATCTGGTGGGGTGTTGGTGAAATTAGTCGGTTAAGTTTCTTGCGAGGGGAGGGAGAATTGTTGCATGACTTAAAATGGCAGGAAACGTTATGCAAATGTTACATTGTTTCGAACCTCGGGTTTGCAGAACCTTGCCTATTTCTCACGCTCTTGTTTTTGCTTCGAGGTCCCCTCCAGAATATGGAGTCAGGAATTCTCAGCAGAAAATGGAACAGGAAAACAGCAGGGTATATTTTTCTCTACTGCTTCCCAGTGTTCGTTCTTCAGATAGTTGTTATACTTATTGGACCCCAGCTAAACAAAGATAGCAGATACGGTCAGAAACTACCAGAATATTTTACTAGTGCAGCCACCATTGTTAATGCATCTAGTTCGAAAGGTGCTCGGGACATTGCGCTCTGTACTTACCCTTTACTGAGTACTATCCTCCTCGGCTTTTTTGCCACCGTCCTAACCATCTACTTGTTTTGGCTTGGGAGGCAGATTTTGAAACTGGTCATCAATAAGAACTTGCAGAGGAGAGTGTACACACTGATATTCTCAGTTTCAGGATTCCTCCCATTAAGGGTTGTATTACTCGGTTTTTCTGTTTCTCGGAGACCAGAGCAGTTTTTATTTGAAGCTCTCACTTTCTCAGCTTTTCTTGTGCTTTTATGTTGTGCTGGGCTGTGCATATGCATGCTCGTGTACCTTCCAGTGGCGGATTCTTTGGCTTTGGGCAATTTACAGGATTTGGAGGCGAGGAGAAGGCCGAGCAATGATCACAATGACACTCTTTCTCTTATTGCCAACCAACAACCCCATCTTGATGATGGCCCCTCCTCTCAAATGAGCTCTCCCAGAATCTCCGATGCCTCCTCGACGAAGAGGGGGTCGATCTCGTTTAGAACATTTCAAAAGGATGGAGCTTCTGCTGGAATGGGGACAGCAACTTTTGTGGAGCTCAGCCTTTTCTCTCCCAGCCGAGAGGCATCGCCACCGGGGTCTCCTCCACTGCTCGGTTGGCCCATGCGCTCTGCTTGAGAAATCGCCTTTAGGCTGCGGCGGATGAGTGGGCTGAGTTTGTTGAAATGAAAGCTTTGTGATGAGAAACTGAGAGAGTATTTGTCAATTTTGCAATGAAGAAAAGAAAGAACTGATTGTAAAAAGGAAACAAGTAGCTTCTTCAATAAGGATTCTTAATTTTGGGTTTGTGTTTTTTTTTTTTTTTTTTTTTTTTTTTTTTTTTTTTTTTTTTTTTTTTTTTTTTTTTTTTTTT